CTTCTTTGAGCGAGGTTCTGGCCAATTCAGAAATTTGTACCAAACCTCCAAAATTTGTTACACACTTATTTACTGATCTTTTACAAAAGGCTGGTATTGGTGAGAACTAACCTTCTGACCACTTCAGAAAAATCAAAAATAGTGTCTGGCTTGCCCGTCTGCGATTGCAAGGCATTATTTCCGAATACAATCCCTTCCCTCGACTCTCCTCCCTCGGCATGATTGGTCAACCAGAAATAGTTGAGTTTGGGAAGTGAACATCCCACTACTGCTCCTATTTTCTCAGTTTGCTCAAATCAGGTTTGATTAGAATCTCGTTTTCATGGGTAGTTTGAGCCGCTGAATACGAACATCTTTCTACTTGCCACGGAAAAACCTGGCACATGCACTACGGGCACCATGGGCAAGTAGTCATAGAAAAGTAGTGCTCAAACTTAAAGGCACGCTCCGCGATTAGACGCGCTCACATGTACCACGCCGTGGGTAGTAGGCAGGCGAACAAGTGTTAATGTCGCGCCCCTTTTGCAGCTTGAAAGTACGCGACAAAGGCGCAAGGAGCTCGTCCAACCCGCAACTCACACCTTCGTCCGCAAGCCCCACCCTGCGCTGTCGGTTGCCACGTGGCACTACTTGAAAAGCGCGGGCGAATTTGAGGCAGCGGTCTCATTGCGATCCAACGTAATTGGCAGTGGAGCAACCAGAGTTAGGTTCGTGGAACTCGTTCAGCGCGCCTGTTCTCTATCCCAAGGTGGAATGTGGCTGAAATAGGGGAGGTCTCTTTACGGGGCGTAATCGATGGTTTGGTTTGCTTTCCTTCTCTTTTGCAGATCACCTCCCACCTACACCTTCATAATTGAACGCTTTTCCACACCTATTTTATCCCGAATTTTGCCTTTGAAAGGATTTGCTTGCAAACACTCCGTGGAAGTACCGTCGGGCGATCATTAAAAATAAATTACGAATTCGAAAAGGCTTTCAGCTATGTTGAAAAAAAGTAAAGCATCAAGCCCAAGCGGAAACCGAACCCGCATCTTCTGGAGAAGCAATACCGCTACCGCTACCGAAGCTTGACCAGGGTGAAAATCGTGTCGAGTACGTGGTCGCAGAGGTACGACCCCCCCCCCGAAGTCGAGATCCTGGTACGACCCCCTCTAACAGAGCAAATTAATTCAATTAAAATAAATCCTGCAAAACAAAAATCAAAAAAAAAATCAAAACAATCAAAAAAGAAATTCTGCAAAATAATGCTAAGGACGCTTCATCTTGTCATCTATGCACGTCTCCCATCCTGGCTACTTTGTGCTACATATCTGATAATATCGACTCGAGTGAAGAGAGCATAACTATGTGTGACCTCAATGGCGACGGTTCCGCTCGAAACGCACAGAAATCCTGAAGAACGGGGGGTTGCGATCAATCTTGATTTTTGATGAGTATTATCAAAAGCGCCGAGTATGTTATCAAAGGTTCCGATTTCAACGGCAAAGCTCGGCTGCGATTGCTTCACTGCGGTAGATTTGCCTCCGAAATTTTCAAAAATAAAAAAAACGTCCCGGAATCTGACACCCTGCGATGAAGAAGAGTTGGCATTTTCCAGCCTATTTCACAACCGTTGAAGCAGTACTTGATGGCTAAGAGTTTTAGATAGAGGCTGGATTTCAACAAGGGCGCATCGAAATTGCTATGGATGCCTTCCGTGCAGAATGAGATAGGGTCTGTCAAATTTTGTCGAGTAAATGTCGAGGATGGCGAAATTTTCACGCGAGTTGTTTTGCACTTCAAGAGCAAATGATATTTCTCTTTATATTGGTAAGATCCTGAAAAGCGAAGATAGTTTTGGACAAGCGAAGGTTTGACAGCTTCTGTAATGGGCTGTTGAGTTTTTCTTTTACAGCTTCTTGGTTGAAAGAAAGTATAATTGCGTCGTAGGATCGTATCGAGACGGTATCCGGCAGTTGTGAAATGCCGCTCACGCTATTCACATTGCAATAGTAGTGGACTCATTTGGGCAACAGTGCGGGAATGTGTCCTTAGAACAATATCTTTAACCAGTAAACATTAAGAATATTAGTGAGAAATTCGTCATGCATCCGATTTGGGTGATTGAGTATAAGCCATTGCACCTTTCCCCACTCACAGTTGCAAGAATATTCGATTAAAAGGTTGTTGATTGATGGGGACCTTCGACGAACTGGTATTGTAGTGACATTTAGTTGTGTTGTGCTATTCCTGTAAACTATAAAATTTAACTTTGATGTTGTGTTCTTTCAGCGCGTTTTTTTCTCTACGAACGGTTTTGGATCTTGTTGTTTCTAGACTGAGTTTTTTTGGTCTTGCGCTATATATTACAGTATGCTAGGAGTGGGAGCTTTTCAAGTCAGGTATCTCAGCTGTGGTATTCAAGTGTGATACTTAATTAGTGAGTTGTGCGTAAAGTCGTGTAAAAATAGAGAGCATGGAGGCATGGAGTGTTTTTTGGCTGGCAGCGACTTGGAGCGCAGCAGTGGGCAATCTCTCTTTGCGTAGGGGTAGAAAATGCGAGCTATTAATATTTTTTTGTAATGTACTGTCTTCAAAATACGCGCGATTGTTGGCTATCATGGGAGTGCGTGCCAATGGATTTGAGCTGTAAATCATTTTTTGACCTGCAAGTAATGAATGTTATGAATTATCTCATGTTTCTTTTTTCGAACGAGTGGTTTAATCAGTTTTGCTGCGCTATACCCTATTACCTATCTGCACCATGATACCACTTCTGTTACTGACCCCAAGAGTACGACCCCCCATGGACCAGCCCAACAGGTACGACCCCCCTGTCGAGGATTTCCTCGACCGATATTCACCCTGAGCTTGACACATCGCTTCTTCGTCTTACATAATGGAGCTTACACAAGATTGCAGGCAAGACACCGAAAATGAAACGCAGATACACAAGATTGCAGGCAAGACACCGAAAATGAAACGCAGAAAACAAAAACCCTCCGTAACTCCTCTCAAAGAAGACTTTAACAGATAATGAGAACAGATTTGGGCTCAGCGTCTCAGGATGCGTACAGAAATGTGCATCTCATTTCATTTGGCCAGGTTGGCCTAGTGACCTTTCCTGGTAAGTTCAACTTTGAGAATTGGAGTCATGCATTTCTCGTGGCCAGTGAACCGCCGGGCGATCTTCGCCACCTTTCTCACAATGTCTCTGCTTCTCTGACCGCTCTGACTTTATTTTCCGAACAGAAAAGTTAAATTGTGAGCGAATCTAGATTCATTTGGAGGTAGTGTTTGCACTGCCTTCCAAATTTTTCTCAAATCGTTGATATTAGGAGAAGGTGAGTGTCCAAAGGTAGTGGAATACCTGGAAACATGGCAGCTTTTCATATAACCTTGGAATGAGCAAGAAGTTGTCCGATATGCTTCGCAACGACTCTTGTGCCGAACAAAGTCGAAATGCGGGAATCTCACACCTTCTTCTGAAAAGCACCCACAAGGCATTGCAATAATCAAGTCCGAAGACCTGTTAGTAACAACTTATTCACTTTTGCTGTCCTTCTGTTGGTGCTCGTGAGAAATTGTTCATTCTCTCAGGGTGAGCTTATAATTATGATACGATACAAAAAACATTAAAAAGTTGAGAAAAATAATTGTTGCCATAATTCGGATAGGGAGATATTCGTATAGGGAATGGTAATGTCAGAAAATCTACTATCTGGCTGCTTATTTAGGAAATGCAAAATTCGAGTGTGATTTATAATAACGAAACACACTGTACGTACTCAGTGATTCTGTTGGTGCAAAATGGATGGGGTAAAATATGAAACTGTTATCGAACCACAGCGTTTAACGGTTTAACATTGCGTGGGGATGGAAAGTCAAAACAACTGGTGTACAGAGTGTTCCCAATTAGGGACAAATTAATTAGGAGGGGATTACCGAGGGGAGGCGTACCCTCCCTTTCAAAGTACGAGAAGAGCGTCGGGTGCAGACCTTACACCATAAGTGACGACAGCCTTTAAGTAAATCCGGTTGGTAGTGGTTCATAGCTATAGCTGATTTTTGGTAAATGATAGCTGTATTTAGTGACAACTAGTAGCATACAACTGCAACAAGCTAATCATTTCATTGGCAGAAAATATTTACATTTCGTCATTTCGGAGGCCGTCGTCACTTGTGGTTTATGGTCTGCACCCGACGCCGTTATTTTTTCATATCATGACAGGAAAATACAGGAAAATTTGCGTGGAAGTTCGAGTGAGGACCTGAATAGATTCACTCAAGAAAACTAACCACAAATGTATAAACTAAAGCTACTATGTGACTTCTCTAAGCAAGTTGTGAGTGGTCAACATTGCGCAGAAAAAAATTAAGTGGTGGATCCTACTTTCTTCAGATGCCTGCCGTGTTGAAAGTGAATGCCATACCCGTGATCAGACCACAACATACTTCTTTGCTGCGTTTGTTGCTTACGTTGGTCGCTCACAGATGCTTGGAAATTTCACGTAGCACTGTCAGTATCCTAATTTGTGACTAGAATCCTGGAGTGTATCGACTTACCAGGTTTCCAATTAACTACGTGAAGTTGCAAGTTTTGGTGAGAGTGCGCCAAGAAACAATAAAATAAAAAGAAAGAGTATATTCAAAACCAAAAAAGACAGGAGGCGATGTCGCTTGTTGTAGGTATTTAGAGAACATTCGAAACATGTTGAATAAATATCAAAAGTTATCAAGTGAGCGCAAAGCCTAAAAGGGCAATTTATGACTCACTTGCCCACGTCCATTAGAGTAAAGTAGGACAGTAGTTACAGTATGGAAAACCTGACCATCATCTTAATGTTCCCTTCGCTACGCTTAGGTGTTTTTTGGGACATTTGTAATAAAATAGTGAAAAATAAAGACATTTGCCCAACGGACATCATTAAGCTATCAGAACCCAATGTATGTTCCGAGAGAAGAGAACAGTGTTATTCAACCACGCATAAAATAATTCGAGTTCTCGTCACGAACACCTGATGTTAACCAGAATTTCAGGGTCCCTATTACTGGGCTCATTGATTGGGTGCGGTAATGCTCTTATTACGAAGATGACGTTGATTGCGGAACATCCTTTGCTTGAGAGCAGTCTCTTCGTGCTGGTTTCATACATTTCTTTCCTTATTGGAGAAGTTGTAGGTCTTACAGGTGAGGTGATTCTGCTTAGTCCATACGTACAGTGAATTGCAAAATCATAGGACACCCCCCCCCCCAAATATGGATATCTCGGCTTCTAGACAAGCAGCCAAATCATTCGAATAGTTTTCCGTATTTAGACTAATTTTTTTTAGTTTTGTAGTCGTTGCAAAATCATAGGACACCCCTCGGAAGTCTCCTTACAGTTGAATTTTTTATCCATCCAGAAACGATGGTAGCACTTGTCCGATGTATGGCAATTTTATCAGTGTTACGGTTTGAGCTGCTTCCTTTCCCTCCGCGGGTGAAAGCCAGACTTTCTTTTTATACGCGCCCAATGGTTCGACCACGACCATCGAAGCCATTTTTAGTAGCTCAAAGAAAACCATGGCTTGGTGCTCCAAATTCTCACTAGTAAGAGTGCACCAGGATAAATAGCAGAAGTTGTCTGAAAGGATTAGCTGTAAACTCGAAGATTACATCGAGCAAAATCACCATGTACGGGTAACTCGTGTCAGCTCTACGAAAGAAAGAGGATAGAAATGAAATCCTATAGCAAAATCATTGATATGGACAACTAGCGTAGGGTCCTGCAAAGCGTGCTGCCATGCTCGTTAGGCGTTCTGACCGAAACCAGAGAAGAGAAATCTAACGAAAGACCGGGCCTGGGGCAAAATTTTCGTGATCGTTTCCTAAAGATGTGGTGATGCGTAACCTTATCCTGAGTAACAGCTCGAAGTTTCTCTTCTCTGGTTTCAATCAGAACGTCCAACGAGCATGGCAGCACTCTTCGCAGGACCCTACGCTAGTTGTCCATATCAGTGATTTTGCTATAGGATTTCATTTCTATCCTCTTTCTTTCGTAGAGCTGACACAGGTTGACCGTACATGGTGATTTTGTTTGATATAATCTTTGAGGTTATAGCTAATCCTTTTAGAGAACTTCTGCATTATCTTGATGCACTCTTAATTCTTTCCGAATGAAAATTTGGAGCACAAAGCCATGTTTTCTTTGAGCTCCTAAAAATGGCTTGCTGCGCATGGTAAGCCATCATGCCGTATAAAAAGGAAGTCTGGCGATCACACTCGCGAAGGAAACAGCAACTCAAACCGTAACTCGAATAGAATTACTCATACACCGTACAATGCTACCATCGTTGTTGATGGTAAAAAAATCAACTGTAAGGAGTACTTCCGAGGTGTCCTAGATTTGGCAACGACTACAAAACTAAAAAAAATTGTCTGTAACAATACGACAACTATTCGATGATCTGCTGCTGTTGTAAGTGTTTTTGTTTTTTTTGCAGGCGGTTCTGATTTTACCAGTTGCGATAGACGGCCTTTTCTAGGAGCCGAGATATTCATATTTGGGGGGTGGGGTGTCCTATGATTTTGCAACGCACTGTATGAACGTCTTATGTAGTATTTTTGTAGTAGTCTTCCCACATATTACATGTGCCATGCTGTTTCATGATGTTTTCTAGTTGACCCTACCCCTGCTTTCTGTGTAGCCTTTCGCTATCCTTTCGGTGACAATAAGTGGCTTTATGTGCGTTCGCTCAGAGTTCACCTATTTGAGAAGTTTTGTATAATTGCATGGTTACTCTGGAACATAGGGAAGCGATGATCAAGTGTGCGCTGTTTGTGAAAGCAGGAACTTCTCAAAACCCGTGTGTTTGAGTAGGATATCGCTGTGACTTTTCTTCTTTCTCGCTGTTGTATTACAGTGAACATTTCCTTGTGGGTGACTTTTCATTGGGGAGGTCGTTCAATTAGTATCCGCGGGAATCATATGGGTCCATACCTACTGTTAGTGTAATACATAGTAGTCTCAGAGGCCCTACCACACGCACACACACGCATTCAAACGTTTATATTCATACAGGTATCGTATCGGTTCTTTTCTGTGGTATCTCTCAAGCGCACTACACCTTTAACAATCTTTCTGAAGAGTCAAAACACACAACAAAACAATTTTTCCAGGTGATCACATATAGTTTTAGGCTCGTTTTTAGTAGATTATTAGTATGGTTTTGCAGATGATTTCATTTGTCCTTGAAAGCTTTATATTCTGCTATATCGGAGTCAGCATATTCGTGGAGAATAACCAAAAATGGAATATTGGATTTCTGTTCTTCTCATTGGTAAGTTGGCGGGGAACTTCTTGTCGCAACCTATTTTCATTTCTCTATCGGTATATGCTGTCCTTTTAAGATCTCAATTGTCGTTGCTCGTGCTCTATTCGTGTACCCGTTGAGCTTTATTCTGAACATCTGGCGCCGTCCACGTATACCTCGCTCCTATCAGCATATGCTTTTGTTCGCCGGTCTGCGTGGTGCAATGGCGTTCGCTCTTGCTGACCGAAATACTGCTACCGACAACAGACAGGTAAACAAAATTATATTGAAGTTCATCTTCAATGGAGGTCTTTGAAACTCCCTTCGTTGAATCAAGACTGCTTCGAAATGTGTGTAAATGAGAAAGACTGATGAATTTTGTTTCCTGATTATCGTATTCTATTACACTGGGGTGCCTAATAGATCACATCCTTTTAAAATTTCGATTTTTGATTTTTGGAAACTATATCAACCGCAGAAACTTCTTGTTTCTGCTGTTGATATATTTTCTAGCAGGGTAGTTAAGTAATATCGACGCAATAATCAATAAAGAGTGTTTGTAAAAACTTTTGAGGGAGATATTGACTTTTTCGCGCTGCACAATAGACTGGAGTTATGCTGAAGTACCCTCCCTTCAAAAAGCGAGAACATTTCGGGTGCAAACCATGTACCACAAGTGACGACGCCCTTCACAAAATCTTATTGTTTTCTGCCAATGAAACGACTGGCCAGTTGCAGTTGTATTCTATCGATTGCCACTAGTTACAACTATCAGATACCAGCATTCGAGCTGATGCGTGACTTCGCCTTGGCAGGCTTTGTCTCGATGTCATAAGGAATTCGATATTGCTATGACTACAGTTGCAACTGTTGACTACAGTTGCAATCATGAAGCAATCCCAAAATGTTCCGAGGAAAAAACCGGCACTGAAATTAAATGTTACTGCATACAACGGCTGATTCAAAATGGACTGTTGCTGGCATTCTGAAAAGATTGAACCACATGGTTTCTGCCCAACGGCTGACTCAGTGTCATTGAGATAAGCGACTTCGTTTTGGCATTTCCAGTTCGTTGTGAGACAGGCAGGGATAGTCGAGTGGTTAAGAGGATAGACTCATGTCTGCACCTTTGAAAAACCGCGAGTTCGATCCCTGCCGCGGCTCTAAACCATGCCTTGCAAAAATTGCAAAAATGGTTCTAGTACCAGCGTCAGGCCCAGGTTGACAGGCCGGCTGATGAAGACCCCCCGTCACAGCAAATATGTCTAAAGTCGAAAAAGGAATCAGTGATAAAGCTAGGACGTCACCCGGAAGTGGCGCGCAGAACCCCCGCCCGAGTTCTGTGGTAAGTATGCGAGGGCTACCGAGGAGTGAACGGCCTCGGCCAAAGAAGCTAGTTCGAATTGGGAGTTTGAACGTAGGATCGCTAACTGGGAAGTCCCGAGAGGTTGCTGATCTGATGACGCGCAGGAATCCAAGTCCTGTGCCTTCAGGAGACGCGATGGAAAGGCGCCAAGGCCAGAGAAATCGGGGAAGGTGTCAAGCTCTACTACAATGGAGAAGACACCAAGCGGAATGGCGTGGCCATAGCGGTAGCGGACTCGCTCAAGGACTATGTCTCCGCTGTGAACAGGATCAGCGATCGGTTCATGGCTGTGAGGATAGACCCGAAGGAGGGGTACTGGACCATACTCTCCGTGTACGCACCGCAAGCCGGGTGCCACGAAAGTGATAAGGACGAGTTCTGTCTGAGTCTGGATGAAGCCATAAGATCGGTTCTGGAAGATGATTACCTGACCGTGGCAGGTGACCTGAATGGTCACATCGGTAGTTACAGAAGAGGCTTAGAAAGAGTGCACGGAGGTAGAGGGATAGGAACGAGGAACGCTGAGGGAGAGAGGGTTCTGGACCTGGCTACAGCCCACGATTTGGCGATCTGCAGCACGTTCTTCGCGAAAAGGAAGACTCAGAAGGTAACCTACAGCAGCGGAGGGAGACAGACGGAAATCGACCATGTGCTGGTAAGAAGATCAACCCTCAAACCGTGAAGGATATCAAAGTTCTACCCGGCGAAGATCTGGCTCCCCAGCACAGGCCCCTCCTGGCAGACATTGCGATAGACCTTCCCAAGAAGACAAGGGTAAGAACCGAAAGGAGAATCCGGTGGTGGAAGCTGCACCAAGCGGAGAAGGATGACCTCAGGCGGAAGATAATGGAAGTCGGTCTCCCAGATCCAAACGGGCCAATACAGCGGACTTGGGGCAGCGCGGCTGATACCATCCTGCGATTTGCAAAGGAGGTCCTGGGCGAGACAGGAGGTGGATTCAGAGGAGACAGGGCAGCATGGTTCTGGAACGAGCAGGTCCAGAGAGTCGTGAAGCAGAAGAAGGAAGCATACAAACGCTGGGAAAAGACGAGTTCCCTCATAAGAACGACTCACGGACAAAAGCCACAGCTGGCCCCATCGCACTCTGGACTAAGGATGAGGTTAGGTGCGCAGGATGAAGGTTGGAAAGGCGGTTGGGCCAGAGGTCCACCGAGCATGGAAGCGCGCTCGGAGAGTACGGCATAAGGTGGCTCACCAGCTTCCTGAACAAGGTAACAGTGGAAGGAAAGATGCCGGGTGCATGGAGGACAAGTACGATCGTCCCCATCTTCAAGCAGAAGGGCGACGCAATAGACTGCTCCAACTACCGCGGGATCAAGTTGACTGCTCATACAATGAAGCTGTACGAGCGACTGGTCGACTCAAAAGTGCGGGAGCTGGTCCCCATCTCCCAGGAACAATTCGGGTTCATGCCCGAAAGGTCTACCACAGATGCCATCTTCATCGCAAGGCAAGTGATGGAGAAGTACCGAGAAAAGCGCCGACCCTGCTACTTAGCCTTCCTAGACCTGGAGAAGGCGTTCGACCGGCTACCGCGAGCAGTGCTTTGGAGGTCGCTCAGGGAACGAAAAGTGCCAGAACACCTGATCTCCCTGGTGAAGAACATGTACGAAGGAGCCAAAGCAGCCATACGCACCCCTCACGGACTAACAAAGGAGATAAACATCACGGTTGGGGTGCATCAAGGGTCAGCTCTGAGCCCCTTCCTGTTCCTCCTAACGCTCGATACCATGGTGAAGGGCCTCATGGAAGGACCGCTGAAGACCATCCTCTACGCCGATGACATCGCCCTGATAGCTGATAGTAGAGAGGAGCTACAGTCCAAGGTGCAGCAATGGCAGAAGGTCTTGACAGAAGGCGGGCTACGACTGAATGTCAAGAAGACCAAGTTCCTGAGCTCCGAAAAGGGTGCAGAGCCGATCGTAGACGGCCATGGTGAGACCATCGAACGAGTGGAGGACTTCCGCTACCTTGGGAGCGATCTGCTGATGGCAGTGTGGATCAGGCGGTGAAGGCTCGGGTCAACACAGCATGGATGAAATGGAGGGAGTCCACTGGAATCCTCTGTGATCGAAGATGCTCCAGAACGCTACAAAGGGAGATGTACGAACAGTAGTCAGGCCTACCATTGCTATACGGCAAGCGAGTGCTGGCCCTGAACAAGAACCACGAAGGCAGCTTCACTCGCCGAAATGAGATGCTGAGATGGGCTGCGCTGCGACGCGACTGGACAGGGTCAGGAACGAGATGTCAGAACGTCACGCAGACTGCCCCTGTCCAGCCTGAAGTACGGAACAGCGTCTACATGGTTGCGTATTGCTAAGGAGGCCGGCAGGATCATCCGATAGACACCAATGGACTTCGAAGTACAGGCACAGCGACCCGCGCAGAGCCCCAAAAGAAGAGATGGAGAGACGTGATCAAGAAAGGATCTAAGTGAATCATGGCCACAGCAGAGACCCTGTACAGACTAAAAGTGCGACCGACTGACAAAGACAGCGGACCCTGCGCACTGCGGCGGGACTAAACCTGAGGGGAAGTAAGAAGAAGAAGAAGTTCGTTGTGAGACCCGAATTTTTCGTCACTCTTTCTCCTGGGTAATTTTTTTGATAGTAGGATGTCCAGTGAAGATCGAGAGGATGGAAATCAGTGGCACTGGTGCGACAAGAGCCACTTATGATATTGTGAAGAAACTTCGGTAGATTATCCGCAGTGGTTTGTGGAGCATTCTGAAATGGTGAAACTCTTGAGATTCAACTTCCTTCCTGTAAACGAAAAGACGGGATTATAGGTCACTCCTCGATAATACTTTGGTCCCATTCATTGATGAAAATCCCAATAAGCGCTTCATCTCCATTTAAGAGCGCTTCTATTCACGCTTCGCGAAGTGCTCTATCCTACTCGAAATCTAAAACATCCCGTTATTGTCATGACCAGCATGTAGTCCGGACCTAAACCCTATCGAGAATATATGGGATATATTAATGCGCTAGATCTACGCAAATGGGAAGGTGTATGACAATATCAAGTCATTGAGAAATGCCAGAACAAATTAGCGGAAATTTCTATCGCCTCTGCTTCTGAAAAGCTGTGCGCTTCGATCTCTAGGAGAAGGAAGACTCTGTTCATTATTAAATGATGTCAGTGGAAAATAGACTTCAAGTGTTGTTTTGTAGTCCATCATATGTGTCGTCCAGTGTAGTATGCAAAGGCTCGAAAAGTGCAAAAGTGTCCCCGAACCTTGGAAAAGTTGTAATGTCAAATATGTATCACAAATATTGTTTTTTCGTCTATTTTCAAACCACATCGTCAGCAGAAGCAACAAGAATTTCGATCTCGTTCAAGTTTCATTAAGTGCGACTATTGTGCACCACAGTGTATTATTTATATCTCGTATTTTGGCGTTATTCAGCATCAACCATCCAACCCCGAGCCAGACAGGAGAGGGGGTTTGTTTTCCAGGTCGCAGGATGAAGAGGAGGAGGTCCCAAATGCAGAAGCCAGCAGCTGAAATTTTGGCGGTATTGACATTCCTTATGAACAGAGGTTGAAATCGGGGAAAAGGAGGGACTAAATTCTTTGGGTCATGCTCTAACAATTAAAGCAAAAAGATCAGAACAACCGGCATTCACAAATCATCGCAAAATTGAAAATCCTTGCAATTGCTTCTGCGATCGAAACCCTTGGTGCGTGCGTGGCGCCGCATATCACGGCAGGCGAGATCTTTGATTTGCTATTTTGCGAAAAGATTGCACAGGAGCAATTCTGAAACGATTTTTTTTTGAACGAAATGGAGGGCGACGGGTAACTGAAGAGGAATTTCAAAGCGAAGGGCTATGCAAAACTTTTCCTATGCTTTTAGATTGTACTAATTCCACCTTGAAGAGAGTTTCTTTGGGCGCATTCAAGAAAGTCGCTAATGACCC